CATGCCTTGCTTCACCCCCATGCGTGCTGGTGCATTATATGAGCAAGGCTTTTGGCATATTTGGTGGTAGTCTTGGATTCAGATTTTAGCTGAAATCATTTGGAGTTTAATTTTCTTTGGAAAAGGATGCATTGTTTCAAGGGTGGATGGGGGTTCAGCATTGAGTGCTAGCAGAGAGGGTTCAAAGAGCTGTGATGTCTAGGACTTAACATAAAGTTCTGGGAAATGTTTCAGGCATTTCAGGAATTGAGGGAGGATGGGACAGTGTCATATGTAATGGGCACAGGCCTATTTTGGGTCCTAGACGTGGGCTGATCAACGTGCTCATCAATAACATGGATGGCCTTTGGTGTAAGTAGTGCTCTTGGCAGGCAGACATTCCAGATATGCTCCCAGCAACAATTCAACTCAATATGGAACCAGGGGAGCAGACTTCCACTTAGCTCTAAATGCAGCCTATATATTGCTTGGGATGTTGGTATTCCTTTATTATAGACTGTCCTTCGACATTTCCCTCAGGGGCAGCCAATACTTCATAGTAGTTCATACCAACATGAGGTTCATACCACTGTCTTAATCTCCAAGGGTTCCTGACTTGAAGAAATTGTGAAGCCTGCATTCTTGTGTGGTAGCATTGCCTATCCCAGTTGAGAGGCTGTCCTCTTAGCTGTAAATCCTTTGCTTGTATCGAAAGTACACTTATGAAGGTCCGTGCACCAGCCCTCCAAATTTCCACCTGTGAAATTGGTTTGGTATGCCTTCTTTGGGTTTGCCTAAGTCCAATGGCTTGTGGATGGAAAACATTCCGAACAGATACCTCAGCGTTTATGAACATTTTACTAGAGGCTGTGCTTTTAAATAGCTGATCTGGGAGATAATAGCAATATGAAAAGGCATAAGACAAACATTATTCTTGCAACATTCAAGGCAATTCATTCCTTTCAGTGGCTTGTGTTTGAAGGTTGATGAACCGGGGGCAAAACTCATTTATACAGTCATAGGGCCATGTGTGTTGTCTTTGATGTCTTTTTGCATTGTGAACAAGATAGTATCCATTTCCACCACATTAAAGGCTTACTCTCCAGTCTGCTGGAAATCCTCCTACACTCACGTGCACCGGGGGCAAGCAGAGTGACATCGCTAAAAGATTCAGTGTGTTGGGAGCGCTTGAAAGTTGAGGACTCACACGTAGTGTACATACACACCCTCTGCTGCCATCAGCGCTCTCAGGGCTTTTCATATTTTATCGACCATTACGGATGCATGAACTGCTCTCTCAGGATTAGAGGGAGTGCGAGGGAATTAGTGAGCAACGGTCGGTTTTTATCACTTCAGCCCTGCTGTTGACTGGCAACGCAACTGCCTCCTCATTAGGATAGGCACAGAGAGGAAAAAAGATGAGGTCTGTAAAGCTGCTTAAATTCAACTATCTGATCTTTTGGATAGGATTATCATCGTGTTGGAGTTACAGTAGAGTAGTCACAGTGTCTGAGGGACAAAACTCCTGAGATAACTTCTGTTATG